ATAACTAATGCTTTTATACTGAATATTTATACATTGTTGTTTTATTTAAGGGTTTTTATTACTGTATTTTCTAACTCAAAGCAGTAGCCTTGCATTTTACATCTGGCAACATAAGTCTACTTCATTTTTCAAATGATACCAGAGGATTTTTTTGACAGAAAAAAGGAGCCATAACTGTTAAAAGCGCAATAGTTAGTTAGTTCAATGTCCTAATCACACTGTAGCATGAACAGATAGCAGTTGAATTCTCTTTAGTTGAATCATTTCCATGGAGCATATATTACATTTTTTTGTTATGCCACGCTGTTGAGGCAAAGTGAAAACGATGGTATTGAAAATATGAAACACCATTGGACAATTGATGAGGAGTTTAAGAAGAGTACCTAAAATATTTTCCATCCGGCATGATAATGTAAAATACAAAAAAGAGAAATAAATATATTAAACCGAATTCTAGCGAATTTTGCAAATTATGCAACAGTATTTTAAATGAATTTCAATTATCTCTACCAACTACGACCAAAATCCAGAACATCCCATCCGTCTGTCATTCGATTAAGTGCCATGCCTTGTTCTCTTTTTTTCAGATTTGAGAACGAATATTTTTTCTCAAAAGGAGGGACTAAAAAGTCAGAAAACGCGTAGTATAGGAAACTACTGAGAAATTTGTATCTGTCAGAAAAAAGTTAAGGTTTGTAAAAAAAAAAAAGTGATATTACCAGTGAAAAGTCTTTAATAGTTGTGAGGTACAGGGAGAAAAATTATCGGGGAACAGGTAGTAGAATAGAAACCCTGATATCTCTGTAACAAATTGCAGGGCTGTCTTGCTCAACACCGATTTCCTTTGAATTAAATATTGAGAATATATGTGGATCCGTAACTAAGCAGAGAATGTGAAACTCAAAAACACAATTCCTTAGACATATGTACATAACAACAATTGCGAAGAAGTTATAAGTTTCCAATCGAGTTGATAATACAAATGCCTATATGTAGAAATAGAGATACTACCAAATATCATCAACGCATTTTGAAGTACCGAGAAGCCGGGCCAAGTATAAGCCTATAATTATTAGGTGTAGCGTTACAAAAGACAGTGACCCACGGAATGAAATATATGGAGATGGAATGTTATTCTTCCAATTAAGGTATCTGAGATAAAAACCAGTTTAAAACACCATTGTCAACAAAAAGTATAACAATAACTGAAAAATATAATAGGGCACACTATGTTCGATAATAAGGGTTTGTGGATCGAATATAAAATGCATTTTGAATCAAAAAGATTTTGTGGTGGGTTTATGACTGTTTACAGCAAATAATAAAGAATGCACATCCTGTCGCAGGAGCTGACGACTCACTAAACCATTCGTAAGTGGCAACTTGTAACATTGTTCTCCACATGGAGCTAGGACAAGTTTAAATGGGAGAAAGAAACACCGAAAAGCAACATTTAACACTCACTTAGACAATTTCGATTTACTATTATTTTTGAGTTATTTTGATTCTAATAATCTATTTTTAAGGATAATGATGAATACATCAAAATCATATACTCAAAAGGCAGTAGTTAATGTTTTGAAGATGTCTGATGATAAACAAAGGAATACGGTGTTCAGGAGGCTGGGGGTCAACAAATTAACCATCACATATGACTTAATTTTTTAGATATGATATCTTCAGCTGTCAACTATCATTTGGTAGTTTTTTTTTTTTTAATACATTTTAGTTTTAGAATTTGATCATTTATGGAGCTCTTCTTCTAAAGGAGATCAATATAGTCTGAAAATGGCCACAACCCCCCAGCCCTCTTAAAATGATTTTGATAAAAGAATTTTACACTGAAAAAGGTGATGACAATGAACAGTGATTTATCTGAAAAAAAAATATAAGTAATGCAAATCTGTAAAGAGGGTATAAAACACGGACCCCTGGAATTTCCAGTTTCAGAGTTGATATCAGGTGTGTAGGAGGGGTAAGCATACCTTGTTTACCGGTCACTCCCGCCGTGAGTCCTATGTATTGATAAAAAAAGACGGAACATTCCGTAATCAAATTCGGTATCTCAAAATTGAGTTTTTCCCTTTACTGACTTTATGTTATTCATTAATTTATTCTTAAAGAAAAGATACGTAAATTAACGTGTAGATATGTTTTATAGCATACAACACAACAAAGGAACCAAGTAATAGCATCTATTAATTTAAAGAATAGATGCGCTTATTTTATGAGGAAACTTAGTTTCTGCTATTTGTGTTGGGTTAGCTAGAATTAATTAGATCGGGATCGGAATATCTCAAATTCCTCCTCTTTGACCTGGATCCAAAAACGAAAGGTACACGAATTTTGTAGCAGACAGAATTTTAAAAAAAATATACTTTCAATCACAGTTTTTCTTAAATCCCAACCCATCCCATTCCCAAAGGTAAGAGTAAAGGTAAAATTTTGTATCATGAGTTAATCAAAAAATTTAAGAAGTTTTGTCTGCTGTTGGGTTTTCTCTATCATTTCAGGTTTTGACTAGAGGATTCACTTCACCTGAAGTTTTCCGTCGTGGCATTCCATTGGCTTGACTTTGTATGCGGTGACTTTAAATTGTATTCAGCCTTGCGTGAAGAATTCCAGCATGGCATTCCATTGGCCTGACTGTATGCTGTGACTTTTAATTGTGTTATCATTCCGTGAAGAATTCCAGCATGACATTCCATTGAAATGGGTGTTTTGTTTTTTCCGTTGTAATCTCATGTTTTTGTTTGCGCCGAGCCATTCAACTGATGCTATAATTCATTGTGCTGCTGCTGCTTAAAACAAACTTATTTACTTTGAAAATGTGTGCTCCTTTCAACAAATTCATGAACTGGTCTGCTTTGCTTGCTTAAAACAAACTCAGTTACTGTGCAAAATGTGTACTGCTTTCAACAAACTCATGCATTGCTTTGCTTGCTAAAATATGTTGAGTAACGTTCGTGGTTAACCCGGAACGATAACTCTACATACATGTAAAGTTTATGTAAAATACATAAAATATAATTGTAAAGTTAATTACCGTTCGCGGTATAACCGGAACGGCCATGTTTATGCTTATTAATAGTATATGTATATGCTTTCATGTTGTTTGCTGCTGCTGCTGCTGCTGCTTGTTGTTATTTGGGGTCGCCCTTTATGCTTGGCGACCCCTTGCTGCTTTTAAAATGCCACGACCAACAATCGCCAATATCATAATAAACGTGTTTAAAATCATGTTTTATTATTTTCCTCTATATAAATAATGATATATTTACATGCACATAATATTTAAAAAAAAAAATTATTACATTAACAACATCGTGCAGTTCCAGTTGACACATATTAATACATACAGTTATAGAGTTAAAACATTTAGTATAATATATTAACTTTTACAATCTACTGAGGCTATAACAAGGGATCATATAATGTACACATATAATAAAATAATTGAAAAATTTCCAAAACAGTGACATTATTAACAAGCATATTTATGCTTAAAAATTCCTACATTATTACATGTATCTCACTATTCAAATAGACATTGATACAAAAACTGATTAAACGGAGTCATGAGAACGCTTTTTCAAATACCACTTAATTAAAGGATGTTAAAAAATGGAATTCAAAAACTGAAAACGTGTTTGGGACTAGGAATTTAATTAAAAAATATGTTCTATTTATACAACAGTCAGAAAAATAATGAGAAAAGTGTTGTGTTTTGCATGTACTTTGCCTAAATTGTAATCTGAGATTGACATATAGCATACTCGCTCTGGCATCCAAAATACAACATTCCTACCTGTCTATATAATTAAAATAGTATAATATTTGAAGATTGTCCAAGAAAAAAATGCCATCTTTTTGAATAATTTACAAACTACCAGACCAAATTATTCATTTTTGACACATTCTAGGAAATGAAATTTTCGCTATTTTGACACAATACTATAAGTTTTTATGTCAATTGCATGTGGGAAAATCATTTAAAGGGTGTAAATATCGGTTGGCAGCAAAACACTTACTTTTAAACATAGCAGGTTATGCGGAAGTATAATGTGACAAAATTTACATCTATAAAATGATCATGACCTGGAGTACTAATTTGTAAAAATTCATCTATTTGACATCATGAATGACAAAATATGACGTTAAGTGCATTAACACTTTACGTTAGATATTGTCAAAATTGCCGACGTTGGGTGCACTAAATTACATGCATCATGTACTACTGTATTGAGCGGGGTACGCCTCCTGTCCACACTGGGAAAGAGTTAGAAATAAATGGAACTACACAAACACATGTCTAAAACACTGAATTATACCTGAAAAGGAGGCTGGACTAGTTAATCAACAGAAAAGGCGTTTAGCAGACCAACAAAATTGATATGTTAGGAGCTGGACGTCAGATAAGATATTTGTATTTGTATTTGTCAGATAAGGAGACTGCCGTTTAACACTGCGTGCAAAGAGGTTCATCGTCTATTAAAAGAATTTAATTCTTTAAAAAAAAATGTAAATTTTTGTGCATGTTAATTTTTAAATTTATAAGATAAATATAAAAAATTTGTTCACTCCTCCATGGCACCTGATCCCACCTCTGATATTTTGGAGGTCCGTGTTTGCTCTGCTCCTACATGTAATTTGTATTGTTTAATGGGCTTGTGAACTTGAATACTGTTCGTTATCTCCATATATATCATGGAACAACCCTCGTATATGACTTCATGATTTGATTTTACTATGACGATTCGGTAAAGTCAAATTATCAGCTATAATTTTTATTATAAACAATCAATATATTATTTTTTAAAAATTAACAATATATATATAAAGACATACATAATGTTATAGAATATGATATAGTGAGAAATAAATGTCATCCAGTTTGTTATTTAAAAGTACACAATATGATGCAATTATATGGAGGTCTATTATTGCTATAATTTTTGAACGCTATACTAGTATATTATTCAGACAGAATATCGTCTCACATGCTTTTTTAATTCACTCAACACTCTCTTGTACTCAGATACTTTCATTCTTCTCCCTCTGTATTTGCTGTTTCTGACCTTCCTCACCAATCTTCGTGTCCTCTCTAGAGCAGTTATGCCTTCGCTGTCTAACATGTATCTTATATCTAAATGTTCATCACCGTCATCCTCATCACTAAACTCATCAAACACACTCTCACTGTCTAACTCAGAAGTATATTTTCTGTACAACACCCTGATGTTGACATCTACTCCCGCCTCGAGTAAGATCCTCAACCTCTCTTCTCTGTCCTTCACATCTTCTTCATCGATCAGCACAAACAGCAAAGGTCTCACATCAGACTCCCAATAACAACCACTATACAGCTGAATCCGCTGATTAACATCCAGACCCAACCCTAATAAATGTTTCAAAACATTACAATCATTTTGTAGGATTGTCTCATATAATCTTCAAACTCCTCGATACGCCAAACTCGTTTCTCTGTCAACACCACATCATCTTTACTGTTTGTCATCACATTGCCTTGTTTTATGTTAACCAAACAGTTAAAAAAATGTAACTTTAATCTATTTAACCTATTTTCTCTTTCAGAATGTAATAATTGATTTACAACACCGACCTTGTTTTTTAATAATGCAATATAAAGTGATGAAAGACCCTCATCATTACAGATTGTTGAGTCTGCACCGTACTCTTTGAGAATTAATACTACAGCTACATCAGACTTAGTATGATTTAAAATTGCTACATAAAGAGGAGTTCTTCCTTCACAATCTTTTTTGTGAACATCAGCCCCTGCCTTTAGCAACTCTTTCACTACACTTGTATGTCCACCCTCACACGCTGCCGTCAGTGGTGTATTATATTCGTCTCCTAGATTAACATCAGCACCCGCCTCAAGAAGCTTCCTCACTATAATTACATGTCCCTTATTACATGCTGTTGTAAGAGGTGTCTTACATATATCTTGTTGATTGACATCAGTCCCTGCATCAAGGACTTCCATTAATATACTTAAATGTCCAGCAGTACAAGAAGCTATTAAAGGGGTATCGAAACGTCCTTGTAGATTGACATTAGCTCCAGCCTCTAGCAGCTCTCTTGCTACACATAGATGCCCACTCTCACATGCTGCAGTCAATGGTGTATTGCAGTATCCTTGCAGATTTACATCAGCCCCCGACGCTATTAACATCTATATTACGCACAGGTGTCCACTTTTACATGCTATCGTAAGAGGTGTATTACATTTATCTCTTTGATTGATATCAGCCCCTACCTCAAGTAGCTCCTTCACTACGAGCATCTGTCCTTTCTCACAAGCTGCAGTCAATGGTGTATTACAGTAAACTGGCAGATTTACATCAGCTCCCGACTCTAGCAACTTCCTTACTACACCCAGATGCCCACCTTTACATGCTGTTGTCAGCGGCGTATCATCTTTACCTCGTTGATTGACATAAGTCCCTGCCTCTAACAGCTCTTTAACAATCAACGTATGTCCACTTTTACATGCTGCTGTCAGTGGTGTATTATATTCACATTTTAAATTCATAGCAGCTCCAGCTTCCAAAAGCTCCTTGACAACATTTAAATGTCCATTTTGACAGGCTTCTATCAGTGGTGTATTGAATTTGCCTAATGCATTGATTTTAGCCCCTGCCTTTAGCAAGTCCTTTATTACATCTATGTGTCCACCTTGACATGCTGCAGTTAGTGGGGTATTATTATTCTGGTCTTGAGGATCGATAACTGCTCCCGCCTTAAGTAGCTCATTCACTACACTCTTATGCCCACCTTCACATGCTGCTGTCAGAGGTGTTGTGTTTTTATCTAGTGGATTTACATTAGCCCCTGCCTCAAGCAGCCCCTTCACTATACTTAGATGTCCACCCTTACATGCCACTGTCAATGGCTTATCACATTGTGGATAGATATATTTCATTGCTTCTGGTGACCCTTTCTCTAAATCATTACGCTCACCCTCACATGCTGCTGACAGTGGTGTTCTACATTTAACTTGATTGATATTAGCCCCCGCCATTAACAACGTCTTCACGATACTCATATGTCCACCCCTACATGCTGCTGTCATTGGTGTATTAAAGACTCCTTGTGGATTGACATCAGCTCCTGCGTCGAGCAACATCTTCACTACACTCATATGCCCACCACCACATGCTGTAGTCAGCGGTGTATTCCAATGATATTTTGGATTTACATGAGCCCCCGACTCTATCAGCTGCTTTACAATACTCAAATGCCCCTTCTCACTTGCTGCTGTCAATGGTGTATTGTATTGATCTTGTAGATTAACATTAGCTCCTGCTTTTAGCAGCTCTATCACTATAGTGAGATATCCACCCTCACATGCTTCTGTCAATGGTGTTTTACGGTGACATTGTAGATTGACATCAGCCCCTGCTTCAAGCAGCGCCTTCACTACTTTTATAAGGCCTTTTTTACATGCTGCAGTCAGTGGTGTAGAATCATCACCTTGTAGATTGACATTACATCCTGCATCTAGCAGTTCCTTCAATACACTCATGTGTCCTTCCATGCATGCTGCTATCAATGGTGTTTGATAGTAACCTTGAAGATTGACATCTGCCCCAGCCTCCAACAGCTTTTTCACTATACCCATATATCCAACCCTACTTGCTGCTGTCAGTGGTGTATCATGATTACCATGCAGATTAACAGCGGCTCCCGCCTGTAACAGTTCCTTCACTATATTCATATGTCCTCCTTCACATGCAGCCGTCAATGGAGTATTATCCTTATCGTGTATATTTACATTAGCCCCCGCCTCTAGAAGCTTCTTAACTACACTCTTATATCCACTCTCACATGCTGCTACCAGTGGTGAATTATCCCTACCATGAAGGTTGACTACAGCGCCTGCTTCGAGCAGCTCCTTCACTATGCATATATGTCCATAACTGCATGCTTCTGTCAATGGTGTATCAATATCGACATGTACATTAATATTTGCCCCCGCCTCTAGCAGCTCTTTCACTACACCTATATGTCCACCAATACATGCTGCTGTTAATGGCGTATCTTCCCAACTTTGTAAATTAACATCAGCACCAGCTTTTAGCAGCTCCTTTACAACACTCTTATGTCCACCCTCACATGCAGCTGTCAGTGGTGTGTCATACCACATGAAATGGTCATCTACATTTTGTTGAATGTCGATTAAATTTTCATTTACATTTTTCAGTAATATTCTAACAGTCTCTAGATCACCACTGTAACAACCCAGTAGTAGTAGGCGATACTGTTCAGAAGTTTGTTGAGTGATATTCCCCATTCCTTTTGTATACTTCATATCAGTGTTAGAACAATTCCTAGGAAATAGTTCACAGAGAGTTTCTCCGTGTAATTGAATTTGTTCTGAAATATACTTAAGAATCTGATTATGTCCATAATAAACAACCCAACTGATAACCCTGACACTGTCCGTTGTTCCTCTCTCATTCAACACTACCTCCTGTCTACCACTTTCCCAGCTCCTCTTATCCCTCTTCTCACTCTCCTTTATCACACGTTCTCTTTTTCTCATTACCTTAGACACGTCTTTCTGTTCTGACAGAAATAGAGATTTTAACTCTGTGTAAGACTTTGACATCAATACCTCAATAAAAGCCTGACACACCTTAGGTTGTTTTAAAACATTATTCATAAAAACATCATATAGTTCCATATTTTCTATGTCTCTGTAGAGACTATTTTCACCACTAAATACGACACTCTCTTCCTTTAGTATACTTTCACCACCGTGTACAACATTCGTTTCCACTTCCACACATTTACCATTGAATTCAATATTGTCACTCGCTTGTTGAGGCATATTGCTTAATTTTTTCGTTTGAGATTTACGAAGTTTTACAGAATTTGCAATATAACTACTACTCATAAAGTGTAAAATGAGTTCTGGAAACTGACATCCAAAATGATATGCAACGATTTCAAACATAGAATCGTGAGCAAATCTATACTGAGCTTCACAGAGTTTTGTGAAAGTCCCCTCCATTTCTGACAATGCATCGACAAATTTAAAATTATCAGTTTGTCTGCAAACTTTGCATTTCTGCAGAACACAATGTTTCATTTCATTGAATTTTTTATTAACTTCCTCGTTTTCTGATTCTACTAGGATTTTCTCCGACATTTTGTTCTCGTTCATCATGCATAAAACCAAAGAAACATAATGGATTTTGTTTTGTTTTTTTAATTCTTCAAGTTCTTTCAAAATGCATGGAACTGGATTTTGAAAAAAATACAGACCCATACAACTGGAATTTCTTCTCTGTTGAATATAGTTTACAAAGATAGGGAAACATTTTTGATGCAGATGTCAAATTCGCAGGAGACAACAGGTCTACTTCTATCTTGTACATATTAAGTATATTAATTTTGTCAGTATCAGTTAAAGCATTAGCTTCACTATGTAACATAACAAGGTTGGTTTCATTTGTAAAAAATGAACTTGACTCAATTGTTTTTCTATACACTGCCTCTCTACATGTCATGAGAGTTTTTGATTTCGGCATAGTAGGCTTGATGATTCTTTTCTGGTAATCAGACAAAAGGTTTAGTTTTGTTTCTTGAAGTCCAAATACACCTACCACATCATCAATGACAAAAACCTGTGGATTCCTGGGATCACAGTAGTCCTCTATCTTTCTGATGTCTTTGATGGGTACAATCTCATACCCTTCCAGTTGTAACATCAGGGCGATATGACGAGCTGTGGCTGTTTTTCCAGACCCCGGGACACCAATAAACGTCACATGTGAATTTTTCTTCACCTTTACTAGCATAGAAGGGAAGTTGTGAGATTCAAGGAAAACTGTGTCATCTTTTCTCCAGTGTATGACATCAATCTCATGAAGAGCTAAAAAATAAGAGACACTGCATTTTTTCAGTGATAATTTACCTATAATTTTTGTGCTTCATTTTGAAAGTTGAAAATCAAGACAGTGTTGAATCAAATATGAATCTTACATTTCATAAAACAGCAACCTGTTCCATGTAAATCCACTTTTTAAACAAAGCTTTTCGGCAATTTGCATTTTTTAAAGTTAAATGTGATAAGGAAATGTGATCCGTTGTGTAAAAAAACTAAACTTCCTTGAGAATGTGCTTTTTGAAAATAAAACACATTTACTGAATGCAAATACTACAAATAATAACTTAAATTTCACAACAAGGCTTGAATACATTTTTGCAAACATAGTCAATATTAAGTGCCAGTTTTTGAAAGTTCTGTATGTTTGGACAGTATGTTTATTTGTTTCGTGTTTTTTTTCTTTGCTTTGTATCCGAGAAATTTCTACTCATATTAGGACGCCACCAATTGCCGGTAGAAGAATACAAATTAAACTCAACATCTGTGAGCATTGAGCATTATGCAAGCATCTACAGCCACAAAGGATATATGGTCTCATCCGCAAAAAAACGGACATCAAGTCCAAAAGGATGACCTTCTTAGTCCATGACTATAAAAACTGCTTCACCCGGGCAATTGGCCAAAATTAAATTAGACAGGCAAATAAACAGACAGCATTCTGAAAATACTGTATGACATAGGACGGCTGTAATAAATATATGGTAACTTAATTTTTTTAAGAATAAACAATAGACGACCTTGAACAGAAACAGAAAATACACGTTTGATGGTTTTAAGGTGGGAACATACCTATTAGAAGTAAGAGTTTCTCTGCATATTACAAAGAAAGACCCTAACATCAAACATAGGTAATCAGAGATTACAGAGCTCACCTCAACAAATGTTGTCTTTAAGTAAGGCAAAGTCCCACACTAAACTAATAATCTAGTACTGTACATCCCTAGATGCAACATTTATGCAATTTTGGTCTTGGAGGGCTTTCAGTTACTTGGGAATTGACTTATCTAACAACTTGAAACAAGTCACTCATCCAGAAAATATAAGTCAATTTCAGCATCTGAAGCAAGTTTTATAGTGTTCATCCCTTGATGCATCATCCATTCAGATAGGCCTTATAGACCTGCTCCAAAAACTTTAACCTGGTTACTCATCTGGAAAATGAAGGCCAGATCCAGAATCCGAAGCAAGTCCAGTAGTGTGCGTCCTTAGATCATCCATGCATGTTTGATCAATAAAGGGCTTATAGTTATACTTTAAAATGAGATCTGCTGCTGATGATATATTAGGGAACTATCTTTTAGCTAATTTAGCTATCTGATAATTTTCTTTGAGTATATTTTTTGGATATATATATCTTCTCTTATTTTTTCAAATGATCCTATCTAACAGTCCTACACAAAATAATTTGAAATACGCTGAAAGAATATAATGATTCGTACATGTTTACCAATGATTCTTGTTTTCCTTTAAAAAAATCATAATATTTACATTAATAAATTTTATAAATTGTAACAGTATTATTTTTCTAAGCACATTTCTATCTCTTCCAGTTAAACATTCTCCTATTTTCCGGTACAAATGAATCCTCCAAACAAACATACCTTTCACATTTGAAGGAATAGATACATCTTTAAGCTTTAATACTTCATCTAAAAAAGAAAGAACATATTTCATTCATAATGCCTAAAAATTACACGGAAATTTCATAAAAGCCTATCACAATGTTAATTTACAAGAAACTTCGCTATATTCTTCTGATTTATGAAACTTTTTATGTGTAAATTGGAAAGGGTGGTTAACGACAGCTCTTATGATGCTTACTAATATCCATTAATAAATGATGCCCCATGGTTTGTGTTTGAGTAAAGATGATTATACAACAAGTTGCGGGGTTATTAAGCTTTGCCAACAACTACTTGAGTAAGCAACATTTAATAAATATTTAATAAATATCATTTTATATTCCTGTGAAGTAGAATTTATTCAAAAACTTCTTCATGAGAAGAAAAAACTTGATGTAGCCGTCAGCTTGAAATTTAGATGTATCGACGACGTATAATCAATTAACAATAGTTAGGTTCAGTCATATATCGAATCAATATATGCTAGTGAACTTGAAATAAAGAATACCACAGAGTATGTTTCACAGTGAGTGAATCACGTAGTCTCTATTCAAAACCAAAGAAACTTAATGGATTTTGTTTTGCTTTTGTAATTCTTTAAGATCGTTTAAAATGCATGGAACTGGATTTTGAAAAAAATACAGACCCGTACAACTAGAATTTCTTCTAATTTGCAGCGAAGTCGTCCGACAATCTATTCAGACATGATGTTACATATATACGGATAGCATAATAATAAATATATTATATGCATACATCTGTTATTACAACGTTTTATAAGCGTACTGAAACGTTATATAAGGAATTAGGGAGGATTGATTGCGATTTATGCTTTAAAAACTATTTACTATTTACTAAGTAAGTGTAGACTATGGATAAAATGTGGCACAACATATTTAGAAAAAAAAAACTGACTACATGAACTGCTACTTCTAGTACCCTTGTGAATATATGTCAAGTTCTTACAAAAGCAGTGGCTTGCTATACACAGAAGCAAACTCTCCTTGTCGCACGGCTTCGCTGCAAATTAGATTTTTAAAATCATTACAGCTTCAACTGTTCACTTTTCTTTGTAGACAAAATAAGACTTAATTTCTGTGATTCTTTACTCATGTAAAGTATTTTTCTCCCTTATCATTCTTTTGGTTTTATATTTCACAACTAGCTTTCCTTTTTAAGTATTTGAATTTAGGTTTCTTTTGGGCTTTTACTAAGCGGCGGGAGTGGGGGTGGGGTGGCGGTGCTTTAATATTATAATTCCTTAGGTACTAGTAATACTTGCCAGCAATTTGCTTCATCTTATTTTCTTTCACATTTTGATCTTTAACAACCTCTTCGACTTTACCTAGAAAAAATAAAGTAACTTTTAAGAATCTAAGCAGTTATAACAATAACACGAAAAAAAATCCTGAGTTAAAATTTCTTGTTTTATTTCCATTTTAGTTATAAAATTTACACTCAAGGCCATGAACTCTTTCTCTAGTGGCTACATCTTCTTCAGCCTGTTTTCTCAGTTCCTCTATATAGTGACGATCACGGCCAGGATCCATTGTCTCATGCCTCAAAACATCTACCTCTCTTTCATACTGGTTTCCATTGTTAAGGAAAGAATCAAGATCAACTACTGCTGATCTGACAGTTGACCAGACTGTGTTGAATCCAGCATTGGAAAGGACAGGACTAGAAGAATGAGCACACTGATTTCTTGCCATTCTAATCCTTTCAATGTTGGCTGAGAGAGATCTATCGGTAGGACATGGATCATTTCCCCAACCGTTCTTATGTTGTGGTATACTACAAATGTTTCTAAGCAGTGTGTACAATAAAGGAATGTCCATATCACTATAGTTTCCTATATAACTACTGCCTCTTGGTAAAATAAGATTCATTTGTGGTGCTGTCAGACGGGGAAGATTGCTTATCTCTCGTGAAATGACTTGCGGGAATGTTGACGATGGTACATGATGACGTAAAACATCACGAAGTTGATCTGTACATGGACCCAGAACAAGTCGACACACTCTACAGGCATTTGTTGTCTCCTCTGTAGACGGGTAAGAGAATGTCGCCATGATATTAATGTAGTTATTCTCTGAAAAATAATTACTTATAAATCTAATATTTTACAAAAAATAATTAAGAATACAATGAGAACCACTACATGTAAAATCTTGTTAACTTTTTGTTTACACTCAAGATCTTCCGAGTTACAGAATTTTTTTTTTTTTTTTCAATTGCCAAAGGGTATTTGTAGGCTTTGTGTCTCTAAAATGCATCATTGTTATCCCGTGGAAGTCAAAGCTTACATACAAGTTTTCTATTGACAATAATTCACTAATGCTTTTATATTTCATGTTTTTTTTTCCTATTTAATTTAGAATATCTAGTCTGGATAATAGTTTAATTAAAAAAAATTGGCTTGTTTTTTTTTGTCCTAACTCGATGGGCAAACAGTTTACAGTTATGGAATGGGTACTCTGGAAATAGCACATTTAAGGTTCCCCGATCAAGGAAGAAACTATTTTCTGCCATAAACCATAAATTTGCTATTTCTAGAGTACCCAGTCCATAAATGTTTTATTACACCGAAACAATCTAGGGAGATTTATTAAACCAGATATTCAGACATACTGTAGACAACACAGAGGCATTCAAATAAACACAAACACACGTAAAATTTTGCTTGATGTTTTATTAATGCATCGATCAATATCGAGGAAAATAATATGTGTAAAAAAGAAAATAATTCCACAATATTTAAAAGAATTATCGTGCTAGTCATTTTGCTAAAATTCCAGTATGATTTTGACACCGGATATTGAAATCTTTTGACGTCTAAGTTATCTTGCTAATAACATTACGTCACAGAATCGAGATTCCTTTAATGCTCCGCTATCTGAGCATTTCAATTGATTTAAGATATGTTAATGAATATTAATGAGGCAGTAGTCCCATGGAGTAGCTCAGAGGAGCTCCCTGTAGCTTATAGGGAGCAATCCTCAGATTGTGGAAGTAGTGCCTTCTCACGAAAACGGACACTTTTAACATGTTTAAGGTATTCATTTTATATGGAGTAAGAACAAGAACAGTAGATGTATAATATAAAATTGATTATTTTGTATGATATAACTTATTTATATAAAACTATCTTAGATTTTTGTGGAATCTAATAAATAATCGAAACCTTAACACAGCTGGGTTTTTTTCATTTTCTAATAACACGGTCACAAATAGATTATAGACATTATACTTAGAATGCCTTCTATCGTTAAGCTAGACTTGTCCCTAGATACAGTTGAATTAGTCTAACTATTTATAAGGACACACGGAGAGTAATATTTTCAGATGGCAGTCTAAATATACGGAGAAATAAATCGAGAAAGGTAGCACTTGTTTTGCGCAATATTTTACATTTAACACATGCAGGCACAACAACTCTCTAGTCGTCTTAAGCTTTCTACATTTTTTTTTTCAGACAAGCGAGCCACAGTTCTGCAGCGATAAAAGAACCTGTCTGACAATTGTTTTAAGTTTATAAAACTACTGCTGGTCAGCTGCGCCCAGATTTTAGGTCACTCAGATATTTTTTTCTACACCTTCCGAATTCAAGTAAATATCATCCCACTCTCCTCAAAATGAAATTGAGATTTAGAGTGTCATCATTTTGTTAAGCACTATAAAAAAATTAATCAGAGCACATACCTTATTTCAGTCTCTTTTATCAAACCGAAAGTAAACCAGTCCGATTTGATATCCTGCTTTCGGTTTTTGAATAGATCACGCTTCTTTATCGGTTGCTAATCTATGTTTCCTTGTTTTCATTCCATTTTAATCTGGAATTTAGTCACAGCTGCACTTTTCTCAATGACTGAAAGATCTCTCGAAAATTTACCTATGGATTACATATCACTGGTTATGTGCTCTTGATTCTTGAAGCGTAACAGATTGATTTAAAGAGCACTACGCCTGCCAATAAAATCTCAAGTTGACAATGAATTCAAATGATTCACTGCTAGATCGATATCTTAGCTGAAACTAATATATTTACATTTCCAATGTCTTTGTCCGAGATAAAATTACAAATTGTAAAAATACTTTATTTCTACATAAATCTACTGGTTCATCGATAGGCGCGGTTAAAAAAAATCACGTGCGGGGCGGGACACATAGAGACAGAAGCTGGGCTATTAGTACGGGAATTTGCAAATCAGGAGCATGTAAATATAAGGAATAACTGTCAGATTTTTTGGATTCATGACGATGATCAATCGATTGGCTTGCGTGATAATTTCATGCATAAATGCCTTCGGCGTTTATGCAAATTATCACGCAAGCCACTCGATTGATCACATCATGAATCCAAAAAATAAGACAGTTATTCCTTAAATATACACAATAACAAATGACAGTACTGAAATACTGAAAGACGGGCGTGTTAATTTAGAGTGCAGTGAGCAAAGACCGTTAAACATAAAAATAGGTAGCAGGAGAAGTTCGGAAAGTACGCATTGAATCCAAAGCCTTTAAGGTTTCAGGCACTGCAAGCATGAACTTTAAGAGTCTTCGGAACTGTAGGAATGTTCCTACCACTAGTAGCAGTTGATTTGTTGAACAATAAAGGGTCTATTCGTATTGAACTTATTACCAGGAAAAGGAAAAAAGATAGAAGAGGTGTGGTTTTGTCTCCCATGTTCATGTCCGTTCAGTTAGCTTTTTTGTAGGCTTATGACAAATTTACAATCATGAGTAAAACTCGAGGCAATTGAACCATGAATAACCACCAAAACCACCACCAACTACCTAACTTCTAAAACATAACGAGCTTTTAATTATTTTTTCATAACTTGATCAATCGGGATTAATTCCTCTTTTCCATAATAGATGTCTCTGAATGTCTTGCCTTTTCACTTTCTATCTAAGAGCCTCACTGGTTGTGCGTACAAGTACTTATCCCTACTCATTAATATAAATGTGACGTTTTTCGGGTTTATTCGAGCGATATTTCTTGGAATCGGTCCCTAATAAGTGATCAATCACAATGTCCCTGCGTCACAAAATATTGTTAATTCTGTATTTTAAATACGGATCTCTAGATCTTTATAGATCTGATACAAACGCAACACCAGAATTTGTTTCAACAAGTGCGTAACGGTTTCCTTGCATAGTTTACAAATCAAGTACAAGATATTTATTTGTTTATTAGCTTTCTCTCCTTATTAGGACATATGACTCCATATTCAGGGCACCTGTTAGGGCATTAGGCTTCATAGTTGGGGCACCTGTTAGGGCATTAGGCTCCATAATCAGGGCATCTGTTGGCCATATTTAGGGCACCTAATAGGGCTTTAAGCTCCATAGTTGGGGTCGCTGTTAGGACATTAGGCTCCATATTCAGGACACCTAGCTGTTAGGGCATTAGACACCAAAATTAGTGCACCTGTTAGGGCATCAGGCTCCATAGTTAGGGCACCTGCTAGGGCAATAGGCTCCAAGTATTAAGGCTTGCCTCACCATCGATAGGTGTCAAGACACCTGATACATTTAGGGAGTTCGTCAGGCTTCAGGTTTAGGGCCTTTCATTATTACTAAAATTCTGTATATCTTTTAAATAACAATTAAATATTTACACAAAGGAACAAAAACATTACATAATTGATATTTAGCTCAAAAGGGCATATCATCATAAACTTTTCATAAAATTTGACCTTTTTTGTCACTCTCTTTCATACAAAATTGATATGTTCAACAGCGCTCATAATTTTTCAATAAGCGTATAGTTATCAACACATTTAGGTGATGTTAAACCTCTCATTCTTGGCTTCTCTAGTTCTTTTCAGTTTCTTGCCTTCTATGATCGGTGAGTTTCGAACTGTGAGGTCGGGTATTGGTCGTTTTCGATTTTTTAAATAAACAGTGAAGTAAACCGTAACAAATATGAATTATGGAGATAACGAACTGTAAGCAATCTCAAAAGTCCATTGAATGTTTGTTTGTTTGTTTTCATGTTGTTTAACGTCCATCTCGAGAATTTTTCACTCATATGGAAACGGCACCACTTGCCGGTGGAGGGCTGCAAATTTTAACCTATGTTCGGCACTGAAAAACGTTGAGAAGTGGGGGATCTTTTTCGTGCCAACAGCTACTGCGCCACGGGACCTCGGTTTATACAGTCTCATCCGAAGGACTGGTCTCCAAGTCCCGCAGTTGATTCGAACCCGCGACCTCAGGATCAGCTCCTAATTACTCGGCGACTCTAAAGCAGACGCTGTAACCACTGCGCCACGCGGGGGACTCCATTGAATGAAATATGGAGATATCGAACAGTATTCCAGCCCGAAGTCAATTAAAGCAATTCAAATCGGGAACAGAGCAAACACAAACCTCTTGCTCTTGCCTATCGAATCAACTGGGAGACAAAAACCCATATTAAAACAATACAACGGGGAGCAGAGTAAAATTCCATATTTCGGTCAGTACATGATAAAACAACATAATGCATGTATGTTAAATGATTATAGTGTATATATGTAGATGTCTAGGTGTGTGGTAAAGAGATGCATTATATATATATATATATATATATATATATATATATATATATATATATATATATATATATATATATATATATATATATATATATATATATATATATATATATATATATATATATTTAAAACCTTTTGTGTAAACACGATGATCTTGTAAACAGGGAAAACTTGAAACAGTACCAAGCACGCATTATTGCCCACAAAAAAAATGACACGCATCATTTAGAGTATAAAAGATTCGAGGCTTGAGTAACTTCGGAATGATCTTTCTCCAGACCAAAAATCAAAACAATTCTGTTTTCACAAGTATAAACTTTACATTTAAGATAAAACTCATCTGAAATTTGGAAGGTTTTTGGAAGTAAACTCCGAGATGTTGGATTAAAAATTGGCTAATTAACTGTCAGGCATAGTAAAATTGCAAATTGAGCTAAAAGACACCCCAGAGTTTGATACATCTGCTAAATAATTTGATGTTTTACTTAAGAGAGACATTGGTAACAAACTAACAACTTAACTTTTTCATAAACCTGACTACTTTTTATCAATAATTTCCCTTATTTATCAAGCAATAAACCATTATCATCTGCACATGGTGGTTATTTCTCCCAGTTGATTTCATACGCAAGAGCATGTTCTGCGTAGGATCAAATTCAGGCTACCGACAAATAAGCTGATATTAAAAGATTTTTGTTTTTTGTTTGTTTGTTGTTTAATGTCTCGTTAATCTACTTACCTTGTCATGACCATTTGCAAAATTATTTTGTTAAAAAACATTCTGTTTGTACACACAAGTACTCCGAAGTTGATATTAAAAAGATGCTGGAGTTTCTGATTGAGAATAACTACGTAGTTTTTTGATATCTTCCAACAGGTCTTCCAACAATCTGCCATGAAAACCCATTGCGCCCCTTTAGTAGCAGACCTATTTTCATATTCAAATGGAGCAGAATTTAAAAAAAAAAAAAAAAAAAAAAAAAAAAAAACTTATGAGAAGAAGAAACTTGCTGTGTCCTTTAACTCGACATGTAGATATATCGGCGACATATTATCAATAAACAATACTTACTTCCATTCATATGAGGACTGTTATATCCCAGTGAACTTGAAATGAAAGATGCCACAGAGTGTGACATAGCTTTTTCATATTTGGATATTTTAATATAAAAAGACGTTAATGGTAACCTTACAACAAAATTTTATGATAAACGTGATGACACTTCAACTTTTCTATCGTCAACTTTCCTTATATATTTATAGCAATATACCTTATCACCTGCATACTGCGTGTATGTCTCACAGTTGATTCAACAGGTAAGAGCATGCTCGACGTACGAACAATTCTAAAACGAGGCAAGCTACTGACAAACAACTTGATGGAACAAGGATATCAATAGTCTCGATAACATTTCGCAAGTTCTGTGGTCGATACAATGATGTTGTCAATCTATCATTAAGACGATTGCTGACTGATGCTTTTCATACTAATTGTTAGGCCATTATTTACACACTGAATTGTCTACGAATTTTTTGTTTGCAGGATCATGACGGAGAGCACACACCGGTTGTGACCAGTCGGCAGAAGGTGCTTACTTCCCTATGACACCTGATCCCACCTCTGTTCTCTTTTGAGGTCCGTGATTGCTCTGCTCCCAGTTTGTATTGTTTTAATGGATTTTGAGCATGATCACTAATTGTTATATCTATGTTTCATTCATCATGTGGTGAAATAAAGATTTCCTTGGGAACACCCTAACGAGGACAATATTATATTAAATTTTTAGAAGAAGGTACCGTTTGGGCTTTATTGTGCTCTTAAAATTTAATGTTTTCAAAGAGTTATGAAATTCACTTAATAAAATATGAATTGAGAATATGAATGTGAAATATAAATCATGAAAGAATATGGCATTAAAGAGGACCATTCTGGAAATGTGAAGCAATTAATTTGGTACATTTCTATGTTTTAAACAGAAAATCCTCAAAATGACTAATTTAAGGATCATTTCCCTTAAGAAAGTGTCCACAGCCGTCGCCTACTTTAAGATATATTGTGTAAAATCCTTTGAAAATCACATTTCTCAAACTCTTTGTGAGCGATGCATGTGATCTATTTTATCTGAAAAAAAAAAATTCCACTGAAAATTGGTGTCTTCTGCAACTTTTTAAGAAAAAACGGGAAACGCACAAGTTCATGACGACACAGTTGGCATTTAAGAGGTCATATGATTTGTACAAACGATTTGTACGTTCTTCCTGATTAGAATTTTAATAATTCCGAAAGGATGAGTTTTGATTTCTTACATCACTTCCATATTTTAGAAAAAATACGGGCCACATTTGTTTTTAAAACTGTACCTTGTTCTTAGGGATGTATACACATAAACAAGAACATTAAGACATGCAATAAATCAAAACTACGCTAACTTGTTCAAAAATCAATTTCCGCAAATATCGTACACGTTAAATACAAAACATTTCCAGTAATTATGCAAAGGGGAGTAATACAGTAAAAAAGTCAATCCTCCCCTATGATCATTTAAATGTCCTCAATTATGTGTGGTGTTTGAAGAATAAAACTACATTCTGTATAAAATAATTACATTAAAATATTACAATTACACTCTGCCTCCTCAACAAAAATGTCTTCCAATAATGACACAAATAAACCATAGACTACATTTTGATTTTCAACCCCAAACACTCTGCAAATGAATTATTATACACTGCAAATAGAGTGCATCAAGATTCAGCATATTGTCCTTTGTTTGCTTTGCTGAAACAGTCAGTAGACAAAGAGACAACAACACATACCTTTAATTCTCAGCCAGTGTATTTTTTTTTCTGTTTATATATCCTCGTTATTAATTCATAAGATCAAACAGTAACTCAGAGAAAAATACAATAACAAACATTATATTAAATACATTTCAGTTTCCTTTCAAGAGACATAAATATTCTTCAAGCTTTACTTGAATATTTTTAAAGAAGGAAAAATATACGGGTAAATGCATGCAAATTTTCCTTCAAACATTTGAAATTAATTGTTCAATAAAGTGGACTGCTAGAATATATGATTAACCTGTCTGAGACTACATAATGTATTTCTACTAATGCATCATCATAGTCACAAGCTGATACCCTGTCATTTACAACTATAATCATGATAATGGAATAAATTTACTACAAAATACTTCAAAAACACAAAGAGCTCCCTTTATGTGTTTTTTTTTTTAAAGAATAAAAAAAGAATTTCAATGATTAAATTAATTTAAGTTGTAATAAAATGCATGTAAAATCAATAAATTTTTGCAGTATATGCTCTTTGAATCAATAAGCAAAACACAACATAAATGTGGAAATGAACATATTCTGTTGATTTCCACTATAGTAGGGAAAAAATGTATAGCAGAGCCTATAATGAGTGGTACCTTATTATAATGGGATGGGGTGATCTTAACAAGTGTCAATGGAAAACCTAAGATAAAAACTGAGTTCTGTATTGTTGTATTTTAAAAAAAACAAGATGTGTTTGTGAAACACTGATGTCCCCATATGGCAGCTTATGGCGAAGGTTAAAGTTTCTTCAAATGCAAGTCAAAATCCAGGCCAAAAGATAAAAAATGTTGATACCCAAAGAAAGTCTTGTCTCGAGGTATACACCTGTGAAATTTGAAAGACCTAGATACAACTGTTCAAAAGTTATGGCGAATTTAAAGTTTTTTAAATAAAAGTCAAACGTCAAGGTCAAGGTCAAAGTGGTTGGTATCCAAAGGAAGATCTTGTCACAAGGATTACATATGTGAAGTATGAAAGCCCTAGCACCAACCATTCAAAAGTTATGGCCAAGGTTAAAGTTTTTCAAAAGTAGGTCAAACTCCTAGGTTAAGGTCAAAGGGTCAACGTGGTTGGTATCTAAAGGAAGGTCTTGTCACAAGGATTACATATGTGAAGTATGAAAGCCCTAGCATCAACCATTCAAAAGTTATGGCCAAGGTTAAAGTTTTTCAAAAGTAGGTCAGACTCCTAGGTCATGGTCAAAAGGTCAAAGTGGTGGTTGGTATCCAAGGGAAGGTCTTGTCACAAGGATTACATATGTGAAGTATGAAAGCCCTAGCTCCAACCATTCAAAAGTTATGGCCAAGGTTAAAGTTTTTTAAAAAGTAGGTCAAACTCCTAGGTCAAGGTCAAAGGGTCAAAGTGGTTGATATCCAGAGGAAGGTCTTGTCACAAAGAATACACATGTGAAGTTTGAAACCCTAAGCACCGACTGTTCAAAAGTTATGGCCAAGGTTAAAGTTTTTCAAAAGTAGGTCAAACTCCAAGGTCAGGGTCAAAAGGTCAAAGTTGTTGGTATCCAGAGGAAGGCCTTGTCACAAAGAATACACATGTGAAGTTTGAAACCCCAAGCACCAACTGTTCAGAAGTTATGGCCAAGGTAAAAGTCTCATAAAATTTTGCAAAAGTGGGTCAAACTCCAAGGTCAAGGTCAAAAGGTCAAATATGATGGTACCCAATGAAAGGTCTTGTCACAAGGAATACACATGTGAAATATGAAAGTCATAGCTCCAACCAATCAAAAGTTATGGGCAAGGTTAAAGTTGACAACAGACAGACAGACAAACGGACAAACGGACAAACAGACAAACAGATATACAGACAAACAGACAGACAGGACAAAAACAATATACCCCGGGATCTTTCGATCCGGGGGCATAAAAATTATGCAGCAGTTGATGCACAAGTATAATGTATATATAATGAAGTTCTATGATTGACTTTTGGATTGTGGGTTCATTTTGTTTACAAGACTCAATGAAAAGTTTGACAACTTAGAAAACCACAAATCATAAAGAAATGATATGTAACACAGATTCCTGGAATCTCTGCCAAAAAAATTCCTGATTTGAGATTATATATGAAGGCTTAGTCCCTGTCAATTATTTATAAATATTTCCATGAATTCCTCTGCATATTGCCAACAATTAATATAATCACAAAGCTACATAATTTAAAAAAATATACCTGAAAAATGGGAGATTTCACAAAATAACTTCAACACTCTTGTATACTTAATATCGTATCTTCAAGCAAAAGTAATAGTGATTTAGTAAATGCTACATTTTCATGAGAATTCCACACACAATTTCATTCAAATATTATCTTAATCTAGGTCATGCACATAGATCTTTAATACATATACATAACAGATACAAATTCCTTGCCTTCTAAGGAATGATCTGCAGATTAAAAAAAAGATCTACTATAAACCCGCTATCATTTGTGACAACTTTTATATTCACGATTTATCAGTTTGGATTCTTATTTCAGTGACTAATTCTTACAACAGTAAAAAAAATATTCAACATAATACACAACAAAAACAAAAACAAAAAAAAAAAAACAGTTGCAGCGAGAACATTTGTGAGTAAGGCAAGGTCATGTATGTCTATATACAGTCAAACCTCGTTAACTCAGTCTCAAGAGGCAAAGAAAATAATTTGAGATATTCCAAGATTCGAGATATTCAGGATAAAATACTTCAGGAAAAAGATGTTGGGACTTCCAAATCTCTTAGCCATATCCATGGTATTATTCGAGATATCAGTGTTTGAGATACCCAGGTTCAACTGTAACATTCCCACATGAATAAAAGTTGGTTTACAGTATTTACCAGATAGCTGAATCAATAATGTGTGTATCAGTCACAACTTCATTCCTAGGTTTCATTTTCATGGACAATTACTTACCAGTAAATAAATAAGGTCTATAAAGATATATAAGATTATCATATAATCTTTTTTACAGGCAAAACAATTAATTTGAATATGTATACATTAACATCTACATGCACTAATGATAAAAAAATCAACTCTTATACACTCTTTCTTCATCCCTCTCTCAGCCTTTTAAAAAAATATATGTTGTTCCCTAAATTAAAATCCATCATCAAGTATTTGATTGGCTAGGACCATCATCTTTAACTGGTTCACATGTTAAACTTGTTCCCACACCTCCATTTTCTGTGCCACCAGATGGCGAGAAGAAATTGTTTGTTTTATACATGAGGTTGTCAGGCTGGTCTAGTTTCTCTTTAGCGATGTAGATGTCATTTTCTATGGCCTGTATCAACTCATCTAGAATTATAACAGATTGTATTAATTAATACAGATGTTTTAAAATAACCACCAAGGTACAGATCTTGTTACTGAAATCTCTTTGTTCTAAATAAGTCTGAATCACTACCCCCCCCCCCCCCCAAAAAAAAATTGATGTGCTACTCTAAGTCATATTTAATCATGAGAACTTTATTTTCATGTAATTACACACGACTCTTTGCACATGAAAATATTACTCCAGTGTTTATTTGTATTATTGAATGATATACACTAATACTCAAGATTGGTGAGAATTTTGTTTCACATATAAATTACGGGTAGTTGTGGACATTGTTTTACTCAAGAAAACTTTATTTTTGTATAATTACACAAGTCTTCCAGCTCTTAAAAAAAAATTATTCTTGCATAAAATAGTTTTAAAATGGGTATTTTAAAACAATAATAAAAATTTGTGAGAAATTTGTTTTACATGTTCCACATACAAATCACAGGTACTTGTGTACACCCCCCCCCCCCTTTAAAGTCCATACAACCCAAGGAGGAGTTGTAAAAAAAATGTAAAAAAAAATACCTATATATCATAAGAAAAATAATCCAAAATAACATGTAAAAAAAATACCTATATATCATAGGAAAAATAACCCAAAATAACATGTAAAAAAAAATACCTATATATCATAGGAAAAATAATCCAAAATAACATGTAAAAAAAATACTTAATTTTACTTTATATGATTATTGATATAAATATGAACAATATAAGGCCAAAAAAAAAAATGTGTGTTTCTGGTAACATGCTCATAAAATTAGGGTAGGTAGGTAGGTAGGCAATGACTTTTTTTTTTACTTGACTTTTTTTTTTAACATCACATAATATTTGAGTGTTTCATTAAGTAAACTGTATTTTACTCACAATCCAGTGTCCAGGAGAGCTGTTGATTGCATTCACTTCAGGTGAATGAGGACATTTCTTTAGTTTAAATCCCTGGCCAGGACAACATGACTTGCGATGCCCGCCATGTTGTTAAATATCTACACATGTGAAATCTTTTAGACGCTTGAAAAGACATTTTTTTATTCAACTATTACAAGCGTCTTTTTAACTGTGTGTGTTTTGAAGACTGCAGTTTTGGTACATAATCCGGATTTGCAATATAAAGTGGTAGGGTCGGCGTGAAAAACTAGGGTCGGTCTGGTTACCGGAAACACACATATTTTTTTTTGGCCTTATGTTTTTCTTTGTTATCATGGTAGCAGCTATTACAGAAAAAAAAAATTATATAACTGCCTTCGGCAGGTTTTGTATTTTTTTTTCTGCAATAGCTGCAACATTAATTCCAATACTAACAACTAAAGAAAGCATTTTTTTTGTTCAAAATACCCAACATAGTGAAAAGGAGACGTTTACTAAATAGCATGAAAACAAAGGGACACTACTCACCTAGTGATGAAAAGTCCTTCATCGGTCGTATATATCCGAGCATGATGACCTTCAACTTTGACCCATAGAAATCTTCATTAAAAGTGTGCATCAGGTAAGTCTCCTTAAATGGAAATTTTGTTTTTCTTGGAAAACACTAGTTTTACAAGCCATGTAAATTGTTATTTAATACCAGTTGATCATCATTAACATTGGCAATGGAAGAAAAATAATTATAAAAATTAAAATATTTTGTTATATGATTCAAACAATAGATTATCATTTCCCTAGCTCAGCAGGATTCCTACCACTGAATTTTTGGTGTTTATGTAGTATAGATTCTTAGTGTGTTTTTCTCACCATTGATTTTTTGGGTGTTTATGTAGTATAGATTCTTAGTGTGTTTTCTTAGCATTGAATTTTTGGTGTTTATGTAGTATAGATTTTTAGTGTGTTTTTTTACCATTGATTTTTTTGGTGTTTATGTAGTATAGATTCTTAGTGTGTTTTTTTACCATTGATTTTTTGGTGTTTTTGTAGTATAGATTCCATCCTACTGATAACACCATTTTGTAGACTTCACCATCATCAACATTACCCCAACCATAGTACACACCGAGGGGCATCCCCGGGGGCAGTTCTTCTACTACACTCTCTGGGAAGTTTGCTGAAAAAAGTGGAAAATAAAAAAAAATAGAATTTACCACAACATTTGCATTAGAGTTCTTATGTATGGGTCACCTCATTTTCTCAAACACTGACATGTCAATTACTAATGGACAATCTTTAAGGGGGCTCGGGGGAGGGAGGGAGGTGGGTCATAGTTTAAACTCTTTAACTTCCTCTTCTACATTCAACAATTTAAAATACAATATCTAAACTCTTCGTCTAAAAATATTTGAAATCAAGCCTATATATTGATTAAAAACAAAACAAAACACTAAGTACTGTTAATTATCACAAATTATTGATCTGTGATTGTCATGCATGAGTCTGCATGGACATGTTAATCTCTTCATGAAGTTCAAATAGAGTTAAAATTCAGATTGGCAACTGTTTCATTTTGTCTCCTACAAACGTCAAACAAACAGTCCGTTTCACCTCTACCTTTACGTTACTTAACTTTTTTTTTTAAATATAAAACACAGGTAATATTCCAGGGACTGCCATTACCAGGAACTGATAAAGACAGGTCATTAAATGTGATACAAAGTTGTCTCTCTTTGTCCCTTACCTATTCTTAAAATACAGTTACTATTCAATACAAAAATTTAAAAAAAAACAAACAAACAAAACAGAACAAAGCATGCAATTTTATTGTTACACGTATTCATTTTATAAGACAAAAAATTGTGTTTACGTAATACAAAAACATGTTTATGTATGTTTCCGATTATAGCACCTGTTAAACCAACCTGTCGGTATCCCTAGCTCCTTGCTGCCCCTACCAAACCCTTTCACGACTTCTCCCTCCGCAAAATGGGGGAGTTTCATTGACATAACGGAATGTATTGCTCTTCCTAGAAATCTCGTGTATGTCCTCATTGAATAAATGACAAACGGTATTTAGTGAATGCCGAGCTCGATGCAAAAATAAATAGCACAGGATAAGCTTTCTACACCTACCCAGCATGTACAAACAATTCAAGGTGAATATCTAGGAGTTTTTATTGATCAATTCTTAAGTGGAGAATTTATTATTGAGTCCATTGTACAAAAAGTTTACAACAGGTTGCGTTTTTTATACATACAAGTTCGTTTTTGGATAAAAGAAGTAAAATGCTATATTGTGTTCTGCTCTTGTACAATGTCATTTAGATTATACCTGCTGTGTATGATATAAAGGTTTGACAAACAGTTTGAAAAAGCAAGTTTACAAATATGTCAAAACAAAAATGGTAAGATATACATGTATATTAAAATTACATAAACTACAAGAATGCTTAGTTCACTAAATTTTTTAAATACGGAATACCGGGTATGACAATTCAGATTAAACCATGTACACATAACATCTACCATGGCTGTGCACCATCTTATCTAGGTGAAAATCTTACTCTAAGATCAGCTGTGTCTTCACGCAACATCAGAACATCCTCTAAATGAAGATTTTTTTTGATACCTCATGTGAAAGCATGTCAAGCAGACACTTTTTATTATCATGTCATTAAGAAATGAAATCTTTTACTAGCTTCTATTAAATGTATTAAAGGAAAGGGTACTTTTAAGAAACAAGCTAAGAGTTTTATCTTACAAAAGGGCATTTTAGAACATGAAAGTGATATGTTTCACTACTAATTTATAAAATATATTTTATTATATATATATATATATATATATATATATATATATATATATATATATATATATATATATATATATATATATATATATATATATATATATATATATATATATATATATATATATATGAAAATTAAAAATAACAAGGCAACAATGTTAGTAAAACGTAAGCGCTTTCATTATACTTCTTCAGACGTAAAACGTCTGAAGAAGTATAATGAAAGCGCTTACGTTTTACTAACATTGTTGCCTTGTTATTTTTAATTTTCATATTAATTACCGGACACTGTGATATTTCTTTTCATTTTTTGGATATATATATATATATATACTATCAGTCTTGTCATACTTAAATCTAATTTGATGTTTAAGCAATGCAGTGCTAAAATTAAAGAGCCAAACATTTTTTATAGTATTTTAATAATGAAACATTGCATTGTTATCTTATTTAAGATAGGACCCCATTGGAGATAAGCGGCTTATCCTGGTATCAAGGACCCAGGGGCGGATCTTGAAAGGGGGGTGGTGACCCTCTAGCCCCCCTCCCCCACAAGCACACTCTCAAACTTAGATTCACACACACGGAAAATTCTTAGGTCGTGGTAAATAATATCTTTTTTTGTTTTAGGGTGAAAAAGTACACCCCCCCGGTCTGAATAAAAAAAAACAACCTCATTCCAAAAACAACTGAAGTCTTAAAATTGAATGGATTGAATGGATTTGCAGTATTTCCAAAGAAAAAATAGCATTTTTTTTTACAATTTGAGAAACTTTTTTTCTTTGGTAGGTTTTTGAAAACCAATGTAAAACAAAGACTTACATGCAATTTACTGTGGCCTTATACATATTCGCTTTATTGACTGAATTTAGTTCCTTCAAAAAATAATCCGAAAATGGTACGTATATACCCAAAGATCGTCGGAATCCGATATCAAATTAAACCTCAGGCGCGGATCCAGGAATATTTTCCAGGAGGGGGTCCGACCCAGCCCAAAAAAATTCCAATAACCTAGAAAATTCTTGACAAGCACAACCTAGAAAATTCTTGACAAGCAAAAAAAAAAAAAAAAAAAAAAAAGTTAACCTATATCGGGTGGGGGGTGGGGGGTGGGGGGGGAGGAGTCGTTGATTTCTGAAGTTTCACACCTATAACTTTTCATACCAACTTTGCACAGATCCGCGTTTTCGAGGGAGGTCCGTGTATGGTCACATTTAGTTGGTGTAGTATATACATTTAATAACTTTGCAAACTCCGGGGGGGGGGGGGGTCCCGACCTCCCTCTAGGTCCGCGCATGAACCTAGCATGTTACTTATCATACACATGTATTGAAGTAAGTAGATTATTTCACTCTATTCGCTCATAAATAAAAAAGCTGAAAGAGAGGAATAGTAGGTAAATAGAAGGTAAATGGGGGAAAGGAAAATTTGTGAGACTCTATCTAATAGCAAGTCGGAATATGACCAACCGTTCGAATTGTTTTGAACAACATTTATATTTAAAACGTGAGTTAGACCTACAAATATCTAATCCAGCAAACGTTTTATCCTCTCTCTTTTTCTCTCTTTCCACTCGGCAAAAATTAAAGGGGTTCCAACGCCCGAAATCCCCATCCCCCTTTGGATCCGCCAATGGGGACCTAGTATATAGGTCCCTGCTGGTATCAACAACTTGGACAGAAAATTAATTAATCAAATTTAATCCTACATAATACATATATAAATGTTTCTTTTCTTTTGTCTCTGAACTTATTATTTCTGTATATATGATATAAGTCTGGATAACCGAGTTCTTAATACACATAAAATTCTGAGATAATTTTTAGATTGTCGGGATCGTCATCCAGAAATGACCAAAGCATGCAATTTTTCTCGCGGGAAAAGTCAGAGTGAAGGCAAAATGTAAGTGCCAAGGGATACTTGCGTAATATTTAGCTTACTACATGATTTCAAACATCAATATCGTAAACCTGGTCCTTAAAAGCTTTAAACAGCAAAATCAACCATTTTTTCTCCATATTTTATAAACATGTTAAAGCTCTTTAAATTTTGCATCTATTAGAAGTACAAATTTCAAAATTCAGCAGTCATACCATCCCAAGTTTTATCTCATGTAAATAATAGAAAGTTCATATATTTTTAATATTTTAATATTTTTGTCATCAATTTATATTCACATGCATTTTACATGCTTATAATGAATGTAACATGTGTAAGGCCATCTTTAAATAATGTTTGTTTGCCCTCTCCCGACTCAGACAAAAAAATTGGATTGGTAGGTAGGTAGGAAAATCTTTTTACCAGAAAATTGCAGCATTGCTGATGAGGTAAGAGGAATAAAAAGAAAAAAATATATTGTGTCTTTGAATGTAAATAAAAGTTTTGAGCCATTTTTAGCCAGTTGTTCGGGAGAGAGCAAGCAAACAATTTTTTAAAGATGGCCTAAGCTGTATAATTTTTTTTTGCATCAATAGCTTCTGCAAGTATTTTCTGCATCATTTTACAGTTTATGATGTTAAAAAAAATCTCCAAAAAGAAAAAAAAGTTATTGATGTTACAATTTATATACATAAAGGAATGGATTTTTAAAAAAAAAAAAAAACAAGAGGCCCATGGGCCACATTGCTCACCTAAGTAACTTTGGCCGTGCTGTTCTTTACCAGATTTCCCCCTGGTAATAGCTATTGTGGCCCCGCCCTACCCTGGGGATCATGATTTGAACAATTTACAATCTACACTACCCCAGGATGATACATAAGATTCAGCTTTTCTGGTCCAGTGGTTCTTGAGAAGAAGATTTTTAAAGATTTTTTCCTAGTAATATTTCAATATAAAACTTGAATTCCCTAATGGGGCCCCACCCTACCCCCGGGGGTTCTGATTTGAATCTACACTACTTGAGGATGCTTCCACATAAGTTTCATTTTTTCTGGCCCAGTTGTTCTTGAGAAGAAGATTTTAAAGATTTTTCTTACATATTTCAATGTAAAACTTGGATTCCCTATTGTGGCCCCGCCCTACCCCCGGGGGCCCTGATTTGAACAATTTACAATCTACTCTTCTTGAGGATGCTTCCACATAAGTTTCAGCTTTTCTGGCCCAGTGGTTCTTGAGAAGAAGTTTTTTAAAAAGATTTTTCCTATATAATTCAATGTAAAACTTGGGATTCCCTATTGTGGCCCCGCCCTACCCCTGCGGGTCCTGATTTGAACAATTTACAATCTACACTATCCCAGGATGCTTCCACATAAGTTTTAGCTTTTCTGGCCCAGTGGTTCTTGAGAAGATTTTTAAAGATTTTTCTTATATATTTCAATGTAAAACTTGGATTCCCTATTGTGGCCCTGCCCAACCCCCAGGGGTCATGATTTTAACAATTTAGAATCTACACTATCCCAGGATGCTTCCACATAAGTTTCAGCTTTTTTGGCCCAGTGATTCTTGAGAAGATGTTTTAATGACCCAACCCTATTTTTGTCTTTTCTTGATTATCCCCCTTGTAAGGACACTTGGCCCTTTATTTTAACATTTTAAACTCCCCTTTGCCAAGGGATACTTTGTACGAAGTTTGGTTAAAATTGGCCAAGTGGTTCCTGAGAAGTTGAAAATGTGAAAAGTTTATAGATGGACGGACGGACAGTTAGACGGTCGGACGGACGGATGGACGACGGACAATGGGTGATCAGAAAAGCTCACTTGAGCTTTCAGCTCAGGTGAGCTAAAAATTAAAAAAAATATACAGTTTGCAGCCAGTCGGGCTACCTTGACACACACACAAAAAATAGACTGGACCAAACTATTACTAGTACCCTTCAGTTGGACATGTATTAATCTTGACCCTTGCATTTTATCAGACTTAGAACTTCATCATTGATTTATGCCACCAAAACACTCTTAATTAGTTGTGATATGCAAGCAATTGACCAAATGTTTCAATAACAAGGTCGGGTTCTAGAAAGTTAACGACGTTTAGATGCCATTTCTATCAGGGACGTATATATGTCAAACTTGTATAAGAAGTCACTATTACAACATGCTGTCGTACCATTACATGATCCAACTCCTTGCGATGCTTTAATATAAAGTTCATAAAATTATATGTCTTCAAACATTTTCTTAGTAGAAAATCTTGATAAAAGTAAATCTTGATGGCGATCTTAAAAATGGACGCCGCCAGCCCAAATTTTCTCAGTCGCGAAAATGCAAGTTAGTTTGAATTTTGGTTGCAAAATTAATTGTCGCAAATGCGACCATTTTAGTCACAAATTGGAACACTGTATGTTGCTGTCAGGACAGAAAGTCTAGATGAAATTTTGTTTTAATATGTGTTTTTTGTATTTATCAATAACATCATGAATCAATTAAGCACATGTCATGTGTAATGGATTTTATTTTAGTTTTCAAGTTGACAGTATTAATCTTTATTGAAAAATTTTTGGACAAGTGAAGTTGAAGTCTGGACAAGTAAATGTCTTGGTCACTTGTCTGAATGGACAAGTAGGGAAATAAGTAATGTAGAGCCCTGAATATTACTTTTGGATAGTCCAGTACAGACTGATGTTTGATTAGAGGATTTTACTTTTGGGTAGTCAAGTACAGATTGATGTTTGATAAGAGAATGTTACTTTTGGACAGACCTGTACAGACTGATGTTTGATTAGAGGATGCTACTTTTGGATAGTCCAGTACAGACTGATGTTTGATTAGAGAATGTTACTTTTGGACAGTCCAGTACAGACTGATGTTTGATTAGAGAATGATACTTTTGGACAGACCAGTACAGACTGATGTTTGATTAGAGAATGTTACTTTTGGACAGACCAGTACAGACTGATGTTTGATTAGAGGATGTTAATTTTGGATAGTCCAGTACAGATTGATGTTTGATTAGAGGATGTTAATTTTGGATAGTCCAGTACAGATTGATGTTTGATTAGAGGATGTTAATTTTGGATAGTCCAGTACAGATTGATGTTTGATTAGAGGATGCTACTTTTAGATATTCCAGTACAGACTGATGTTTGATTAGAGGATGCTACTTTTAGATATTCCAGTACAGACTGATGTTTGATTAGAGGATGATACTTTTAGACAGTCCAGTATAGATTGGTGTTTGATTAGAGGAAGTTGCTTTTGGACAGACCTGTACAGATTGATGTTTGATTAAAGGAGGTTACTTTTGGACAGTCCAGTACAGACTGATGTTTGATTAGAGAATGTTACTTTTGGGTAGTCCAGTACAGACTGATGTTTGATTAGAGAATGATACTTTTGGACAGACCAGTACAGACTGATGTTTGATTAGAGAATGTTACTTTTGGACAGACCAGTACAGACTGATGTTTGATTAGAGGATGTTAATTTTGGATAGTCCAGTACAGACTGATGTTTGATTAGAGGATGTTAATTTTGGATAGTCCAGTACAGATTGATGTTTGATTAGAGGATGTTAATTTTGGATAGTCCAGTACAGACTGATGTTTGATTAGAGGATGATACTTTTGGATAGTCCAGTACAGACTGATGTTTGATTAAAGAATGTTACTTTTGGATAGTCCAGTACAGACTGATGTTTGATTAGAGAATGTTACTTTTGGGTAGTCCAGTACAGACTGATGTTTGATTAAAGAATGTTACTTTTGGATAGTCCAGTACAGACTGATGTTTGATTAGAGGATGATACTTTTAGACAGTCCAGTATAGATTGGTGTTTGATTAGAGGAAGTTGCTTTTGGACAGACCAGTACAGATTGATGTTTTATTAGAGGAGGTTACTTTTGGACAGTCCAGTACAGACTGATGTTTGATTAGAGGAGGTTACTTTTGGACAGACCTGTACAGATTGATGTAGTTTGATGGCAGGAATCTCTTTTATTAGTGATAAGCATCTCGCTTCCTCCCAGTGTAGAAACATTTCATGCAGCCAAACCTTGACTTATTGTAAACAGACTAAGGAGGGTATATCCCATTAACATTAGTAAGTATTTTGAGTAACACTTAGATTATTGACTTTAGAGGGGAAAAAAATCTCAACTGATGATTTAGAAATCAAATCATATCATCCCCTGCAAAAAAAAAAATAATCATTTAATGGATGCATACAATTTTTATTTCTAATAGTAATTTGTTAATTTTTTTCTCCTGTGCATGTTCTAATATTATTATTATTAAAAAAAAAAATAAAATGCTCATTTTTAATTTTATAAATTTTTTTTTTCTTCTGCAAGGACAGTTCAAATGTTGAGGAATTTTGCTGTCTATTATGATTTCAAATTTATTAAAAAGAATTAGAATATCTAATTTCTTATTATATGATTGTAATTCATGGTCATTAAAAATTTTATCAAATTAATTAGCTTATGATTTGATTGTCAAATACACAGTCTATCAAGATCTCGCATGGGTGAATTTATGTTTTCAGTGGTTTTGAATACTATATTTTTTTTAATAATATGTTACAGTATAGGCATATTCCAAGATCATTCAAGTCCATTATAATTCACTGATTTTTCTCTTAACACTTAATTTTAAGCTTCATGAAATTTTAAATTTGTATGTATAAGAACTTTAAAATTAATTTATTTAATATTTAGTTTTTCTTGAATTCACGACTGTATTGAGGATATGGATATATATATATGTTGATAAAAGGGATCACTGCGAGGTACTGTGCTCCTCTTGGCTATCCTGTCAGCGAAGTGTTCACACATAGAATAGGAGAGGCAGAGAGGCAGGAACCCAAGGGATTAATCTTAATTCTCTATCAATGATATACACTCATAATGTATGAAGTGTAATTGTGATATCTCTTCAAACTCTTAAACTTATGCAACTGCACTTAATTTTGACATGATCTCTTATGGGACAAATCTGAGATTTTAAGACCGGTATTCTTTTTCCTGTGTAGTATGATGTAAGATCAGCACTAATTTATTAAGGTCAGAGTACGTTATGGGATGGATACACATTCTGTTCCCACCATGACGTTACATCTGGTCTCTACTTCCTGCGATTTCTCCCGTGTTTTACATCCTATAAATCACCCAGAGTTACAGAATTCCTGGAATTACTTCATTATCTTTTAAAACTGTAGGAAATGATCTGTAAAGTTGGGGAATTTCATGAGTATTATCAATTCATGGAGCATGAAGTCTGCTAAAGATGATAACTTCAGGCCAGGCCAAATTAATTTTTAGCATACCCAAAATATTCAATTCATGGAGCATGAAGTCTGCTTACAATGAAAACTTCAGGCCAGGTCAAATTAATTTTTAGCATACCTAAAGAGTATTCAATTCATTAGCATGAAGTCTACTTATGAAGATAACTTCAAGCCAGGCCAAATTAATTTGCTTATGCTTATAATGAATTGACTCTTACAGTAAAGTGATATTCCTTCCCTGTTGCTTTGAAATATATTGTATACTAAACAGATTTATCAGATAAAGGACAATTGTTCATCCCTGGGACTTCGTAATAAGTGTATTTTACTGTACCCTTAAATGTGACACATGCTAGGTAGGATCCAGGAAATTTTTCAAGAGGAGGAGGGGGGTCCATACCTGTTATGAGGGAGTACCTGAGATTCCAATTCTTGGCTACAATTCTATTAATCTGAATTCAATAATTTTGCACATCGGGGTGGGTGGGTGGTGGTGGTGGTGGTGGGTGACGAGGGGGGGGGGTTCAGCCCCCCCCCTCCCCCCCAAATGGATCTGCTAATAGACTCTTGATTAAGTAAACCCAAAATTTGGTCTTAATTTAACTTCACCCAAAATATGAGTTAGGAGTATTTTTATCTGATTTGATCTAGACTAACTGAATTGGATGGATCTGTTCCAAATTTTTATATTTGACTTGGTGTACTATAGTACTAATATATATATATGTATCATAAAGTATTGTAATGTGGTATTATCCATGCATTTAGGCGAACAGACAACATACTTTTAGATTTCATTGGCAGGGGTAAAAAGTACCTTCTTTCTATCTTAACTATATTAATGTGCAAACTGAAGTTGGATTCTAATGTCCTAAGCAGGAGGTAAAAAATTTGCCATATTAATACGCAGAATAAAGTCTCTGCTTTTAGCCGTGTAGGTGATACTTTTGCAATAAGCATCAGTCGTAAAAAGAAATGGACTCCGCAATGTTAGCAGTGGTTTATTCCAAATCAATAAAGAAAAGCGAAACTAAATCCTAATTGTCTAACACCATGACGCCTTTCTGGGAAGTTTACGACTTCTGTTGGTTTCCAGGAGAAGTGACTAAAGTTAATCTGGGCCTTAGCTGTTCATGGATGAATCATAAAATTCATAAAAATCGGGACATTTTGCACTGGTGTGTCGCTACCAGTTCTGAAGTGTTCCATGATCATTTGATGTGTTAGGTTTATGTGTTCTTTGTTAGGACATGAATTAACAGAATAATGTGTAATATATATTTTAGTATTCCATCTGCTGAAACATGATAATTTAATTAATTAAGGCTCATTGACTACCTGAGAAGAAAGATAACTCTCACTTAAATAATTAACTATCATTTCTTTATGTAGTGGTGAATGAAGTTTAAACAAACAATTTCTGACAAATTTTGCTCACAAAGGTATCATGAAATTATATGCATTTTTCGAAAATCATTATTAGGATAAAACAAAGTTTACATTTACTTTAGTACATGCAGTCAGGGTTATTTTTAAACTTGAGTTAATAAAATGAAATTCCTACAATTTTATTTCATAAATAAGTTTCATAATGTTGAAAGCTATGTCTGTGCTAAATAAAAGCTTTTGATGTTAATTAAGATATTTTTAATTAACAGAATTTTACCAGTAATTAATGTCAAATTAACTGCAATCAATTAAACCTCGTTATCTCGAACTCAGTGTGACCGAGAAAAAACTTTGAGATATCCTAGGATTCGAGATATCTAAGGGTATATTACTTAATAAAAGAATATGGGGTTGGGACTTCCAAATCACTTCGACATATCCATGCATGGTATTCAAGATATCAGTGTTCAAGATACCCAATTTCAGCTGTATTATAGTATGTACACTTTTGATTGAGTTGCATGATCAGTCAGTTAGATGGGTAATTCCCTGTAGAACTAATGGTGTGTGTCCTAAAGAGGACAACATTTACAGGTGTTTGTCTTCCCTGTTATATACATATCAAGTAAAATAGATGTATATACAGTCAGGACAAGAAACACAGGTAAATGATTTGTAACAGGGGCTTAGGGTAATTTGATAAAATTGTAGTTATATTGAATGAAATTATAACTGTTACAGTATTGTTACAAAATTTGAATGATGAATGATGTTATAACTCAGCAATAGTATGTATTGATAATTGTAGCAGTGGTTTGGAAGGTTAGATTATTATTATTTTTTTTTGTAACCGGAAAGGAAAAAATGTATGGTTGGAACGGGAATCATACCTGGGAACCCTGCATCACTAGTCAGGTGCTCCACCTACTGATCTGTCCGGGTAAGATTCCAAGTCCAGCCATACATTTTCTCCTTTTCTGTTATAGTTTTAAGGTTGTATTATTTGTTTAAATTTATAATTAAAAATGTAAAGAGTCTGAGGAGGAATATCCAGTGTACCCCGTTCAATTAATGTCTTGTAGACCAGAATCAAATTTTTCATCCTTTTATACAAAGAAAGTTATATTAATAAAAAATAATTATTTAAGGTATAACTGGGTATAAAACCTGGGTAAACCCTGTATGTATTTATAAAAGGATATCCTGAACATTTCCTTACGAGGGAGAACAATACAGGGCCTCGATGTTTTCTCATGTACAAAGGGTCAAACGTAAACAAATACTATTGTTTCTCCCGAGCCTGAACGAAACAGAACAATTTGTATTAACAGCCGTGTTTAATTCAGAGTCACTCAGTCGTAGGGTAGAAGTGAATAGAAGCGATTTAAATGAAGTTAATCCAGCGCTGTTACATTGGTGATTTCTGTGGTGTTTCAGGAGTTTTACTGTGTTTTCACTTTGGATGACTTTTCTTCACCTCTTATTAAGGTATGACAACTGACAGGTGCCTGTCACGTCTTCTGATTTCTCATCTTTTCTTGTTGCTTTTTGGTTTTTCTTTTATTTGCATTGATATGGAGAACCTGTTTTGTTTGAAATTCAATGTTAATCATAGATATACAGGGAACTCTCAATAACCACCCCCTCTCTCCTTTTCTTTCCATCTACCTCTCTTTCTGCTAGGCTTAAGGCTGCCATTTCACCCGGGTTGAAAATATTTTGTTAATTTACCCTGTCAGATTATGAATGTTTCAGTACACAGTACAGGAAATGCTTACTTCTCCATCCCGACTGTTGTTCCTCCAAGTGTCTTTCTGTCTCTCTTTCTCCCCCCCTCCCCCTCTCTCTTTTCTTCCTCTGTTTCACCCAGGTTGTTTGATATTTTAATTTCTTAATTTCCACACACACAATAGGCTGAATGGAGACCTGTCAGATTTTTAGAGTTTTAATCTACCCGTCAAGTTTTTATCTCAGCTACAATCACTTATTATTTTCTATATAGGAATACAAAGATCAACTTTTAATTTCAGTTTTTTAAAAAATCTATCTGTTAAGAATTTAATTTTTTTTAATTCTCATATGTATAAATGGACTTTTAATACTTGTGCATTTTTGGCTTTCTGTTAAATATTCCTGATCATTTAAAATTTTGACAGTGGTTAAATATGTCAATCCGATATCAGATAATCTAAGACTTAAAGGGTCACCTGAAGGTTTTTAATTAATTGCCCTATTCATTTTCCCATGAGTAAAATCAGCTTCATTAATAAATATTCATTTATTAGATGTACTTGTAAAAAACGTTGAAGGAAAACACCTTGTTGATAGTGATTTCTCATCATAGCTCTTCTTTGCTGAAAGGTTTAAAAAGTCATCCCTTATGGGCATTAGTGAGATTGACTGTCACTTAATTTGTGCTATTTTTACACTCCGTTGACTCTCTTTGGAGTCCCGAGTTAATTATCTGAATTAAACATCCCCCCTACCCCGAAGTCATGACCATATGTGCGCTAGCAGAAAGGTCATTGAGTGCAAGTTTACTCCCACTTTTCTCCTTTGAGGTCTGGGGATTTAATTTTCCTTTGATGTCGAGTTTTGATTAGGTACATATGTTAAGGTATTAGACGTAAGAAAATTTTAACCCTTATGGCTTTTAATGAATGTTGATATATATTTTGACCTAGAAATTCCTTTAAAATATAGATATCATTGAGTGGCTAAATTGATAAACATGTAAGTGATAATGCAGACCTGATTGTTTGATGTTTTACTGATGTAAATTTTAGCTTAAGAGCTTAGACTTTTGTATCAAGGAGGTTGTTTCAATGAAAAACAAGGGTATATATTTCTGTATAAGTCTAATTATAATTATTTCTTTAAAATCCATCTGAACACTCTTACTATGTAGCAATGTGAAGACAATGACTAAATTGTAATATTTCATGATTTTTAAGGAACTGATCGAGCTTTGCTGAGAACTTTTGGCCAGCACTGTCACTGCAGTGATTTTCAGTTGAACTTGATGTTGTTGCAGAGAGGATTACAAAGATGATCAAAAATAGGAGGCAACTTTTGTGAGATTCTGTACTACAGATTATAAAGCAGTTTCAAGGTAACGTATGTCCCCCATTTTTGGCATTTTTAGGAACTAAATTTAAGAAGCAAAAATTATAATTTTGAAGTTTTAAGATAAATAATAGGTAAAAGATAATGATAAGAATTGACATGTAAATGTAGAAAGATCTGGGAATCAATCAGATGAGGGGAGACCACTCTAGACATCAGACATGGGAGACAACTCTAGACATCTGACATGGGAGACAACTCTAGACATCTGACAGGGGAGACAACTCTAGAAATCTGACAGGGGAGACCACTGTAGATTGTAATCAGGGGGAGATCACTTAAGATATCAGACTCGGGAAATCACTGTAGATGTCGGACAGGGATATCACTGTTGGGAACAATCGGGGAGAATATTGTTACACACAAACTGTAAAGATTATTTTAGACATTTGTTTATTAAGATGTGATTGAAGTAAAAAAAAAAGTGCAAACTTCTTTTTCTTTTCAAAAATGATCGTTGAATGACAAATATATGTGGCGAGTCATCAGAAAAATAATGTAAATATAAGATATGAATTTAATTTTTGAAAATTCATGAGGTACATGAACTACAATGCTTCATGCCTGCATATTTATCATGAAGTGCTAACACGCTTCGTGAAATATGCCTGTGTGAGGCGTTGTTCATGTTCTCATGAATTCTCAAAAATTAAAATTTATCTCTTAAACTTCTGAGGACATCTTGATTCACAAGGTCATGTTAATTACTTTTGAAAAGACCTTGATTTACAAGGTCATGTTAATTACTTCTGAAAAGACCTTGATTTACAAGGTCATGTTAATTACTTCTTAATTCAAAATTTTACAAGAAGTCCATTTAGCAGAGGAAGAGAGAGATGAAAAATGTATTTAAATCTACTCATATTTGATATATTGAAAATGAAGGTATGAACATATTTTATCTGACATTAAGGTAGCTTTAAACATCTTTCAATAAAGCCCTTTGTGTAATATTACACGTTTTATTGTCAGAAAAGTCATCTCTTAACAAAGTAAGGATCATTTTAAGTACCGGTATGTCCTTCCATCAGTCATTTCATAAAGTCGACGTCGTGTTACAGACATAGTACTTAATATCTTGGTCAGCTTTGAATCACATTCCATGACTTGCTGAAGAGAACTTCCTTTCAGTAAAGATGATCTTAGGGCAGGCACTTGCTGCCTCTTAAGTATTTTATGTCGCACTGTTACGACAGAGATTTTTATCATTGCAAACATTTTTTATACAGGTTGTAATAAGATGCATTTTCTGTTTGAAAATAATTCAAATAAAAAAAAAAAACATATTTCAAAATCTTAAATATGTTTACATTTGGGATGAAGAATGATTATCCAGCCATTTTTATTACCTAATTTTTCTCCAACAGGAATGAAGGATGTGATACAGATTTTAAAGAAGGAATTTATTGTGGAGAGTTTCACAAAGGGAGACTACTCTGGTATTTAGAGACACTGCTGGGAATTTCTGGTAAGCCTAAATAATTGTATTGAATTATCTATTTATAAGTCACTTTTTTATTTATTTATGGTTCGTGAAAATGAGAGAACGAATTCAGATTCTTTTCTGAAATGAACAATATAAAATTTCAATGGATTCTAATACCGGTATATATATATATATATATATATATATATATATATATGTATATATATATATCATCTAAGTCAAAGTGGTAGACAAATTTTCATGATGCCAGCATCAGTCCTTGGGGCATTTTAGGTGGGTCAAGGGTAGTATCTGGTTGGGGGGGTCTTAGTGGTGAAGCCCCCATAGGCTCCTGAAAATTAACAATTAGTAATTAAAACTTTGTTTTGAAAAATAAATGACTCTAATTTTACCTTTATTACAACTATGTGATGTCTGGACATCTAGGATGCAAACTTTTGTATGACTATAAGGACTTGTTCAAATGATTTATCTTAATAAGCATCCTGGAATAAAATTTCATTTATTTGATTTAAAAATTTATATGGGGTGGAGAAAAAACAAAACTAAAATGCTTAATTCTGTTTGGAATTCGTGTTCTAGGAATTTGGTCATGACCTGGTCTCATACAGTACAAACAAGGGTAAAGTAATTAATTATTATTGTTGATTATTTGTTAACGAGGACACCCTCGTTAGACACTGACAACTTAACGATTCTCAGATACATGTGAAATAGCATGCATTGACAGTTATTACACAGTGGACACTTCTGACATGATCTTGTGTCCACCTATCATATTTACCACAGATACCAAATGTGTTTTGTTCCTCCATATTGCTGCCATTGTGTCCGCACTGAAAAATTTGGAGAAAATACATTTTTATCATATGACCAAGTCTTCACTGTCATATTTTATTAATATAGGTAATTTTTTTTCGTCGGTCATATTTTGACTGACATGCTGACCTAACAATTCTAAACATACCTCATGAAAAGCTGCTGCAATTGTTTGTTACATATAAGTTATGAACAAAATTGGAAGAGACAAAAATAAGCATGCAGGAGTCAAATCTTATACTATATTATATACAGAGTTGGGACCTGATTTTTCTTTTCTTTCTTTTTCACTTGATTGAGAGAGAATTATTGATTTGAGGTAAATTTCGACAAGGTTAATTATCATAGTTAGGACACTTCCTTGAAATATAAGCAAAGTCAAAGAGCATTCCTGATGTGGACTCTGTGTCTTCACAATGCTTGATTCGGTGAAGTGTTTATTGATTGAAGGTAATCCGTAAGGAAGTGTGAAGACTGATCCTTAATTAATGGTCTAATGAGAAGTCTTAAAAGTAACATCAATGATTAATTAATGATCTAGTGATTTTAAGCCCGTGTTTTAAGGTGATGTTGCAAAGAATTTGGAAATTCAATGTTTCGTATGCAAGAAGAGGTAAAAATTATGTTTGTTCTAGGAGTTGGTGTGAAATATGAGATAATAATTATTCTATTATTATGAATGTTTTTAATATCCCTGCTGTTATGGAAATAGAGTAATCTTACTTCAAAGTACCGTATATACTCGCCTATAAGTCGGTCCGCCTATAAGTCTGTTGTATTTTTAAAGCTTAAATTAGAGGGATTGACTCGCTAAAATATAAATCTTTTTATAACTCGCGTGTAAGTCAGAAAAAGAGTTTTGCACCAAAGTTTAACTCCCAAAAAACCGACTTGTAGGCGAGTATATACGGTATTTTAGAAATAACTGACAGATGATATATAAACTATTTACCAAGGCAAAAGAATTTTAAACTTGTAATTACTCATTGTCCTGAACTAATTAATATTTGCAAATATTTCAATTAAGACAATACAGAAAGCTATGTATTTTAAAAACAGAAAAAAATTAAAAATTGTAATTTTTAGGGCAAGCATAAAATCATATGAATTTATTCTTATGTGGAAAAAAAAGTAAGTTTCAAGAACTATTATGTTGAAATAATAAAACCTTTTAATAATTTCATAATGTTTTAACATTGCACAATTAGCTTTTTCACGACAACTGTGATACTGCTCTTTTTTTTGATTACAGATAATTAAATGATGTATCATAATATTAAACAATTGCTTTTACATCATATTTCACCAAAAAATATCATTTTGCCCTGCAAAAGAGCTGTGCCACAGTTATTGTCTATTTAAATTCCTCTCTTCCAAAATCAAAAAAATTTTCTTTCATCAAATTAAAAAAAAATTTATTTGTGTTTAGTGACTTAGAAATGGCATATGTTACATAAGATTCCAGCATCAGGTGCCTGGTTATGATTCTCTTTTATCATCACTCCTCTCTATATTTTTCATCTGTCTGAATTCATTATTAATTTCAAGAATGTCTGAAGTATCTTTTTGGCTTTTTCTTTTTCTCCATTTTGAAGAATCTGTTTCAAAATCACACCTTCTTTTTTAGTACTGTCAATCCTTGGAAATTAGAAGGAGTTGATTGTCCATTCATTTTTTTTAAAGTCCCAACCAGAGAGTTTTGTTATCTTCAAGTTGTAAACCAACATGATAAAACATGAAGAGGTAACTGGAGAAAGTAACTTACATACTGATTGAATAAATAAAGTGTGGAATATTTCAACTTAATACCATAACACATATTAGCCCTGCTTTCCCATTTCATCCACTTGGAAACTAAAATGAAAAATTCTGAAGAAATATACTGAGGCTAAGAATTAAGGTTTACAAGATAACAAAAAAGAGGAGGGGTTCAATTTATTATGGTCTTCTGAATCAGTTGAAACTTAATATATATAGTTTTGTGTCACAGTAGTGATGACATGAGGTCCTGTGTCACAGTAGCAGGCCTCAAAATAATTGATGGCCTGCTGGTCTGGGGCCAGTGAATTTTCAATCTGGGCTAGTACATTGCAAAGGGCATGTGCCCTTTGGGTCAGCATTTTTTTTATGCATAATGAAATTCATTCACGGTGGGGCTAGTTAACTTGACAGGGTTGTGTGTCCCAACTTCTACTGTTTCTTGTTTTGTTAAGTTGCACTTCTAAGTATGAAATATAAAAAAAATATTACTAGTATTATTAATATGTTTTTTGGGCCAGTCTTTTTAAAATCTACTGGCCCAGTGGGACAGTGAAAGTACTAAGCTGACAAGTAAAAATTTAAGGTAATAGCCCGAGTGACCAGTAAACAAAAATAATTATTTCTAGCCTTGAGTAGGTGATGACATGTGGTCCTATGTCATAGTAGGTGTTGACATGAGGTCCTGTGTCACAGTAGGTGCTGACATTAGGTCCTGTGTCATAGTAGGTGTTGACATGAGGTCCTGTGTCACAGTAGGTGTTGACATTAGGTCCTGTGTCACAATAGGTGTTGACATGAGGTCCTTTGTTACAGTAGGTGATGAGATGAGGTCCTGTGTTACAGTAGGTGTTGACATGAGGTCCTGTGTCACAGTAGGTGCTGACATTAGGTCCTGTGTCACAATAGGTGTTGACACGAGGTCCTGTGTCACAGTAGGTGCTTACACAAGATCCTATGTTACAATAGGTGCTGACACACGGTCCTGTGTTACAGTAGATGTTGACTTGAGGTCCTGTGTTACAGTAGGTGATGAGATGAGGTCCTGTGTTACAGTAGGTGTTGACATGAGGTCCTGTGTCACAGTAGGTGCTGACATTAGGTCCTGTGTCACAATAGGTGTTGACATGAGGTCCTGTGTTACAGTAGGTGATGAGATGAGGTCCTGTGTTACAGTAGGTGTTGACATGATGTCCTGTGTCATGGTAGATGCTGACATTAGGTCCTGTGTCACAATAGGTGTTGACATGATGTCCTGTGTTACAGAAGGTGTTGACATAAGGTCCTGTGTTACAGTAGGTGTTGACATGAGGTCCTGTGTTACAGTAGGTGCTGACATAAGGTCCTGTGTCACAGTAGGTGTTGACACTAGGTCCTGTGTCACAGAAGTGGCTGACACAAGGTCCTATGTCAAAGTAGGTGCAGACATTAGGTCCTGTGTTACAGTAGGTGCTAATATATGAGGTCCTCTGTTAAAGTAACTGATGACACGAGGTCCTGTGTTAGAGTAGGTGATGACATGAGGTCCTGTGTCACAAGAGTGCGAAAAATCTCTCACACTGCTCAATTAATGGCCTTCATTAATTAAGGACTGAGCACTGATCTGAATTTTCAGACCTCCACCTACATATGAATCAGGTGTCATTCTAAAATAAGTGAAACAATCATGAAGGTACATAAAGTCAATAAACAAACAAAACAAGATGTGTTTGTGAAACACTGATGCCCTTGTATGGCAACTTAAAGCAAAGGTTAAACTTTCTCAAATGCAATTCAAATATGTTGGTACCCAAAGTAAGGTCTTGTCTGTAGGAATATACCTGTGAAATATGAAAGCCCCAGCAGCAACTATTGAATAGATATGGAAAAGGTTAAAGTTTTTCAAAATTAAGTCAAACATCAAGGTCAAGGTCAAATGGTCAAAATTAGTGGTGCCCAAAGAGAGGCCTTCTGACCAGAAATACAAGTGAATATGAAAGGCCTAGCACCAACTGTTCATAAATACAGCAAAGGTTTAAGTTTCTCAAAAGTACGTCAAGGTCAAAGTTGTTGGTATCCAAAGGAATGTCTTGTCACAAGGATTACAGATGTGAAGTATGAAAGTCCTAGCACCAATTGTTCAAAAGTTATGGCCAAGGTTAAAGTTGGGTAAAATTTTGCAAAACTTGGTCAAACTCCAAGGTCAAGGTCAAAAGGACAAATATGGTGGTACCCAAAGAATACAAGGAATACACATGTTAAATATGAAAGCCATAGCTCCAACCAATCAAAATTCATGGACAATGTTTAAGTTTTTGCTGACAAACAGACAGCTAGACGGACGGACGGATGGAGAGGTAAAAAACTATATACCCCCGAATTTTCGATTACTGGGGCATAAAAATATATAAAACTTCTATTTTATTTATATTTTTAGCCTATATAATAATTATAGATAGAGTACA